ATGTTCCCATCAGTTGATGGTTCAAGACTAAGGAAACTGGTATAAGATTGCAAGAGAATGAGGGGGAAATGTAAGGAGATCCTGTTTTTACATGATATCCATGGAGGTGCTGTCAGTGGAGATGAGCAATGATTTCAAAAGGAACATGAGTGGGTACTTGAGGGAAATAAACTATAGGGTTACAGGAATAGAGACGGGGAATGGGGCTGACTGGATTATTTTACAGAGGACTGAATGACCTCTTTATGTGCTGTAATGTCTCAGAACTGAAGTGCTTGCTGTGTGCAGAATTTCGTATTCTGTTATTCATTAAACATTACATTTATTATTAATCAAAATCCTCATTTGCTCAAAAAACTATATTGACCAGCAACTTAAGTTAAGAAATTTGAATTGATAATATGCTGTTTAAATACAGTGGCCCATTTCAATACAAGGAGCTGTTTAAATATGATACCCTTTGTAAATATGGTGTGCTACTCAATTTTATAAAGTGTCAAAGTGGGTGAATATGATAAATAGGGCAATTATCCTTTCAGCTATGTCTTGCATTTTGTGCAACACTTGGCTTGAAGTTATGAATTATGATTGGCACAAAATTCAAAGGACAAATTCAGTTCAATCTCAACATCTTGTTAAGATTCATTAACTGTTTGAATGTTGTTATTGTAGGTTAGGACAATATTGCACTCGTTTGATTGCATTATTGCATTCCTCCAAGCTGTAAGTATATGTGCTAGATTATAAATATAGTGCTTGGGAAATAAAATCAATACATCTGGCAAAAAAAGGCTCTAGTTCTTGTTCATTTTGCTGGTGAAAGTGCAGGTCCTTGACTCTGTGATCCCCATCCCTGGCTTCTCATCCAGACAGCTAGGATTCAACCCTATGCTAACTGGCCAATCATTCCTGGGATTAATCTAATCATGTTTGGACAATGAACAGTTGGCTTGTTGAATATTTCTTTAATTTGCTCATGGGTTGTGGGTGGTGACTGGCTAGGTGAGCATTTATTACCCTTGTTAGTTGCCCAGACGGCAGTTAGGAGTTAACCACATTGCTGTGGGTCTGGCGTCGCATGTAGGCCAGACCAGATAAGGATGACAGATTTCCTTTCCTGCAGGGCATTTAGTGAATCAGATAGGACTTTTTGGCAACAATCATCAATAATTACATGGTCACTGTTATGCTAACTTTTTAATTTCAGAATTTTAATTGAATTCAAATTTCACCATCTGCCATATTGGGTCTTGAACTCAAACTCCCCCAAACATTTCCCTGAAGTTCTAGTCTAGTGACAACACAATGATACCACTGCCTCCTCAACTACAATTGTCAAACAAATTTTGATGGGGAGATCAAGATGGAATTTAATGTGATATTATTGACATATGATCTAGTGAGCTTCTAATCCACCTGTAAATCAGGAATTTGAGGAAAGAGTGACATTATATCATTAGGGAAGCAATTCTGACAGAGCTGCAGGCCCTCTTTGTTTCCATACGCTAATGGAATTCATTCTAGGATCTGAAAAGAAGGTGCTAATATTGGAGTTAATGTTCCAAAATTTGTTGATCCTGGAAAGGTTTGATCTGACTGGAAAGTAGCATTTTCAGAAGGGCAGGCAACAGGAAACAGAAAACTATAAGACAGTTAGCTTGATGTTTGACATGGGGAAGGTGTTCAAATTGATCATTAAGGAGGTCATAACCAAACACTTGGAAAAACTTGAGGCAATTGGGAAGAGTCAGCATGGCTTTGTGAGATGGTTAAACACAGTTTCCACACTGGAGTTCTTTGAAGGAGTAACATGCGCTGTGGATAATGGGGAGCTCGTTGATGTACGATACTTGGCTTTCCAAAAGGCATTGACAAGGTTCTATAGAAAAGGTAATTGAGCAAAATAGGAGCTCACCTCCACTGTATCGAGTGTACCATACTGGCATGGATAGAAAATTGGCTGGTTGGCAGAAAAATAAAATATGCATAAATTGGTCTTTTTTAGATTGACAGGATATCAAAAGTAGAATCCTGCAGGAATGTGTTGGGCCCTGGACTTCTTCCAATTTATGTCAATAACTTGGATGAGGCGTTGATGACCTAACTAGAATCCAGATGTATGTAGCTTGAGTGGGGAAAAAATCTGGCAGATAGAGTACGACATGGAAAATATGTGATTTTGTTCATTTTGGCAGGAAGAATAAAAAAAAAGTGTTAATTGAACAGAGAATAACTACAGAAGTCCAGGGTTGCAGAGAGATCTAGGTGTTCTAGTACATGAATCACAAAAGTATCAATTGATTAAGAAGGCTAATGGAGAGGAATTGAACATAAAATTAAGGATATTATGCTTCATTTATACAGGGCATTAGTGAAATAACATCTTGGATATTGTGTGCAGTTTTGGTTTCAGTACTTAAGGAATGATGTAAATGCCTTGGAGTTGGTTCAGAGGAAGCTTCCAAGGTTATCATCCAGAATGAGTGCGTTGTCTTATGAGGAAACATTGGACAGGTTGGGCTTGCCTTTCACTGCAGTCTAGAAGAGTTGAGGGGTGATTTAATTGAAACCTATAAGATCCTGAATGGTCTTGACAAGATGGACGTGGAAAAGATGTTTCCTTTTATGGGTCACTCTAGAACTGTGGATATTGTTTGTTTGGTCAGAGATGAGAGGATTTTTTTGAGCATTTTGTGACTTTAGAGCTCTGAGAAGGTTATGGAGGTGGAGCATGGGGTGACTTATGAGATGAACTTTCCTGGATCAGATTTAATCTTAGTTAGCAATGCAGCTGATGCTGCCTGCTCAGGACTGTTGTGAAGTGGATACAGAATGAATGCAAGGGAAGGAGGTGGCAGGACATAGGAAAAGGGGGGTGCATGTGGTGTTAGTCACTGGGGCCCATGTCCTAGAGAAGTAGGCCATTCAACCCTTCATGCCTGCTCTAGTATTCAATGAGATTATAGCTGATATGTTCATTTGTCAAATTCCACATTTCCATCTATTCCATCCAACCCCCGATAAACTTTGATTCCTTTGACTAACAAGAATCTATCTATCTCCACCTTAAAAATATTCAAGGACACCACCTCCTCCACCTTCTCAGATAGAGTTCCAAAGACACAAAATTCTCCAATAAAGGTCCCCTCATGTTGGCTGTGTAGTAGCAAATCAAAACACATACAGGCAGAGGGCAAATCTCAAAAATCCTCAAAACTCTCAAAAAAACCTCAAACATCCTGGGAATTCTCAAGTCTGGTGGTGCGGGAGGGTTGGTGGGGAATGGCGGGAGCGTGCAACTTACGCACGAATCTCTGAGAAGCTCCTCTGTCATTCACAGACTGGCTCTCGCCCCTTGTTAAGCCTATCACCAGCAAATGTAGGATAGCAGCAGTGAGAACGTACATGGTGGTGTGGCACTGCTCCTGGGCGGTTTGGGTTGGCGGTGCCAGGCTGGAGTTGGAACAGAATGTGTTGCTGGCCTTGGTGCTGAAAGAGTGTGGGTGAGAATGTGACTGCAGGCTGTTTGGTGTCGGTAGGAGAGAGAGGGAGATATGGGGGGCTGCCAAGTGGAAGAGAAGGAGACTGAGAGTAGTCAGAAGGCTGGAAGAGGAGAGGCAGGTGGACGACATGGCAAAGCTTCAAGGAGAGGGGAATGGGAAGGAAGCTGCAAGGATGAATTAGAGAGAAAGAGGGAAAGAAGAAGGCTGCACATGGGAGGAAGTGGGGGGGAAATTGGAAGGGCAAGACAGGCTGCAGGAGAAGCAGGGGAGAGGGAGAAGATATGTGAAAGAAAGTGAACAGTTTTAAATCTATTAACAAAGGAGTAGCTAGCTAACCAGGAGCCAGGAATATAGGAAATCACTGAGGTAGTGAATTCCTTGCAAACTAATGTGGAATCTTTAGCTTAATGCTGCATATATTGAAGAGCTGCTATATGGAGGGGAAATATATTGAATGTTATTGTAATGAGCACACTGTCAATTGTTAAGTTTAGATATGAGATTGAAAGCTGAGATGCAGTGAAAATGGTAGTACCTAACAACGTAGGAGATAGGAACAGGACAGGCCATTTGTTCAGTCAAGTTTGCTCCGGGTTAATTCATACTTGGTTATTTACCTCAGTGCCACTTGCCTGCACCATCCCCATGTCCTTTGATGTTGTCGGGTTTTCAGAAATCTATCCATTTCTGTCTTGAACCTGCTCAACGACTGAACCTTCACAGCCCTCTGGGGTCAAGAATTCCAAAGATTCACCCACCTCTGAGTGAAGAGCTGTCCTGTTGATCTCTGTTTTAAATGGCCTACCACTTGGCCTGAGATTCCGTCCCCTGATTTTAGACTCACCTGCCAGGGGAACCATCCTGTCTCCATCCACCCTGTAAGAATTTTCTAAAAGTTCTATGAGGTTAACCACCCCAACCCACCATTCTTCAAAGCTCCAATGAGTACAGGCCCAGATTCGTCAGTTTCTGCTCAACTTCAGGGGATTAATCTGGTTGAAGTTCTGTTATGCTCCCTCTGTGGCAAGTGTATTCTTCCTTAAATAAGGAGACTCAAAACTGTCCACAATTCTCCAGGTGTGGTCTCACCATGGCTCTGTCTATTTGCAGCAACATATCTTCATTGCAGTGCTCAAATCCCCTCATGATGAAGGTCAAGATACCATTTGCCTTCCTGATTGCTTGCTGCACTTGGTGATCCTTCAACATGTCTCTTTGGGCACTCTCACCTCCCAACCTCTCACCATTTAAGTGTCCTGCCTCACTGTAGTTTCTATCAAAGCGAATAACCCCACGGTTCATCTCATAAGAGCCCGAATCAAAATGTTTCTCCACTTTTTAAGTCACCTCTCTTTGACACATCTTTTAGATCCTGCCCTAATATCTCCTGTAGAGGTTCCCAAGCACCCAGGGACTGTGAAAGGTGTTGGATAATTGTAGACTGTTGTTGCTGATGTTACCTTTTAACCTGTCTCTTCACTGCTCTCCCTCTCACAGGTCTGGTTCCAGAACCGCAGAGCCAAGTGGAGAAAACGGGAGAAATGCTGGGGCCGCAGTAGTGTCATGGCCGAGTATGGGCTGTACGGAGCGATGGTGCGGCACTCCATCCCGCTGCCGGAATCCATCCTGAAATCCGCAAAGGATGGCATCATGGAATCCTGCGCTCCGTGGCTTCTTGGTAATTATTTACTCGCTTGCATCACAGCGACATTGACGATAGCGAAACAGAGGGTTTTAAAAAATAGATTAATACGTTGGGGGGACTGGGCTTCACATGCTGACTGGTCGATTTGGTTGCAGCAGACAATGCAGGAAGAGGCCATTTAGCCCATCACTTCTGTGCTATCTCTTGGAAACAATGGTCCAGTCAGTCCACCACCCCTGCTCTTCCCTCTTCTCCAATTCCCCTTTCAAGGTCACTATTAAATCTGCTTTCACCTTCATTTCAGGCAATGAGTTCCAGATCATCATAAGTCGTAGTGCACTAACGTTTCTCCCCATCTTCCCCTCTGATTCTTTACCCAATTATTATTTGACATCAAAGCGGCTTAATGTGACATCAAGGACCCCCAGTAAACCAGGAATCAATGGGAATCGGGCAGGAAACTCTCCATGGGTCAGTCACACCTGGCACATAGGGAGATGGTTGTGGTTGTAGAAGGTCAATCATCTCAGCTCCAGTACGTCTCTGGAGGTGATCCTCAGGGTAGTGTGCTAAGTCTTCAATTGCTTAGTCAATGACTTCTCATAGAAACAGAAAATAGGAGTAGGAGGAGGCCATTCAGCCCTTTGAGCCTGTTTCATCATTCAATATAATCATGGCTGGTTACCCAACTCAGTGCCCTGTTCCTGCATGCACCATGTACCCTTTGATCTCATTAGCCCTAAGAACTACATCTAACTCCTTGAAAACATTCAATGTTTCGACCTCAATCACTTTCTTAGGTAGAGAATCCCAATTTCCTCTTGCAACATGTCAGAAATTGTTATTGCACAACGTTCAGCATCATCCACACCCCACACCCCACCTCAGATACTGAAGCAGCTTGTGTCCATGTGCAAGATCTGGTTTGGGCTGACAAATATCAAATAACAAATGCCAGTCAATGCCCATCTCCAACAAGAGAGAATCTAAATATCCCTCCCTGATGTTCAATAGCATTACCATTGAGTCCCCCACAATCAACATCCTTGGCGTTACCATTGACCAGAAACTAAACAACACAGATTTACAAATACTACAAGAGCAGGGCAGAGGCTAGCAATTCTGTGGCAGCTAACTCACGTCCTAACTCCCCAAAGCCTGCCCACCCATCTTCAATGCAGAAGTCAGGAGTGTGATGGAATACTCCCCACTTGTCTGGATGGGTGCAGCTCCAACAGTACTCAAGGAACTTGACATCATTCAGGACAAAGCAGCTTGATTGGCATTCTATCCACCAACATCAACATTCATTCCCTTTATCACCAAGTCACAGTGGCAGTAGGGTGTATCATGTACAAGATACACTGCAGAAATTCACCAAGATTCGATGGGCTGAATGGCCTAATTTCTGCTCCTATGTCTTACCTCTCCAACATCTCTTCGAAAACCTGTGATCTCTACCATCTAAAAGGACTAGGGTGGCAGAAACATGGGAACGTCATCGCCTGCAAGTTCCCTTCCAAGTCAGTCACCATCCTGACTTGGAAATATATTGCCATTCCTTCAGTGTCGCTGGGTCAACATACTGGAACAGCATTGTGGGTATCCTTACACCTGAGGACGGCCATAGTTCAAGAAAGTAGGTCACAACCCACCACCTTGAGGGCAGCTAGAGATGGGCACAAAGTGCTGGACCAGTCAGCAATGCCCACATCCCATGAATGAAAACACTGCCTTGTGGTTACTGGCCTTCCTGACTCTAGGAGGTGTTTCTCCTTATTTATTTCATCATAACTCTGCACACAGCCTGATAGTTACAGGACAGGGCATGATGCTGATGCCTACTTTTGAATGTGAAAATGACTCTCACCGTTTTCACGACAAACATTCTCTGGGTATCAGAGAGCTATAAATTTTGGCCTCAGCACGTCTGAATCTGGTTCAAGATTCTCAAAGGATTGAATGTTAAATTTATTTGGACTATTCCATACAGACTTAGGATGCAGAATTACATTGTCCCCCGTTTCTGGTTTTCTCACTGTTAGAGGCACCAGGCACAAGGTTAACTGTTCCGAGGTACAGCCCATTAATAATTTCGCAAGGACACTTGAGGGAATTGAACTTGCAGGGCTATGGGGATGAAGCATTGGACTGGGGCTGACTGGATTGCTGTACAGTAAGCAGGAGCTGAATGGACTCCTGTTCTACCATTGAGCGAGATCAAGGTTGAGAATGTTTTATTATATATATAAAACCACGCTTCACTAACCTGGGACAGTTTGCCTGAAAGGAGAATATATAATGTCCGTCCTCTCTCACTGGCGAACACCAATACACTCTCACACAGAGGTAAAATAACATTTTCTACTGTCACTCTTCCTAGCTCAGGCTGTCAAATATCTCAGGTTGGGGAGCACAATAATCACAAGACTTCATAGCAGGCTAGGTCATTTGGTCTCTCAGGTGTGCTCTGCCATTCAATAAGGTCATGGCTGACCTGAATTGTGGCTTTGTTGTTCCCTTTACTGTCTGCCTCCCCTCTAACTGTTGACTCCCTTCCTGAGCAAATGACACTCTAATTCTATTTGACCATATTTAATAATCCAGCCTCCAGGGTTCTGTGTAGAAGAATCCCAGTTCATGATCCTTTGAGGGGTAAAATACTCTTCGTCTCTCATTCTAAAAATTAGGAGTCTGTCATTAAAGATTTGTTGCTTTGTAAAAGACTCCCTCACAAGGGGTAACATCCCCTCCATGTCAGAAATAAATAGCCAGCCATCAGCCCGGCTGGAAAATTTGCTTGAAATACTGAACTTTCAATGGGTTTTCAATTCAATCTGAATGGATAAAATGGAAGCTCTTCTGTCAGGTCCAGTGAGGAATGGCATCCAAATTCTAAATAGATGGACTCTGTCAGATTGGGACAAACATGATTCAGTGCGTGGTGAAAAATTCTTTAAGGACAGGATTTAACAGGCCCTCATTGGTAGGTTTGCCTGTGAAATTCCCTGTGTGTCTTTCCCACTAAGCTCCTGCCTGCCCCCATTCCTGCCTGAGCTAGGCCCAATTGCTCTCGCTCCCACTTGAGGCCCTTAAGTGGCTGTTTATTGCCTACCTTCGGCCACATCCTCCCCAGCCTCAGTTCTGAGGAGTTCAGGGGAAGGGGGATACGCCCGGCAGCTCATCCTGCTCATGCCATGGGCAGGAATAGGAGGCGGGAAGGCACCATCCTCAATAGTCTGATATATCACCTGCAGTCCCTCACTGGGGGCTCCCCAACCATTCCCATTGCCTCGTCCTCTCCATCCCCCTGTCATCACTGTCCAATCCACCCCCTCATGATATTTTAGGGTGGGGCTGTGTGAACATGTTTGGGACAGAGTGACCTAGAATTACTATGAAATAGTCATAGAGTCCTACAGCATGGAAACAGACCCTTTGGTCCAACCAGTCCATGCTGGCCATAATCCCAAACTAAACTAGTCCCACCTGCCTGCGCTTGGCCCATATCCTGCCTAACATTTCTTATTCATGTACTTATCTAAAAGTCTTTTAAACATTGTAACTGTACCCACATTCACCACTTCTTTTGGAAGTTCATTCCACACACAAATCACTCTCCGTGTAAACAAAAAATTGCCTCTCATGTCTTTTGTATATGTTTCTCCTCTCACCTTAAAAATATGACCCCCCCGGCGACCCGGTCTTGAAATCCTCCATCCTAGGGGAAAGACACCTGCCATTCACCTTATCTATACCCCTCATGAATTTATAAACCTCTATAAGGTTGCCTCTCAACCTCCTGCACTCCAGTGAATAAAAGACCCAGGCTATCCAGCCTCTCCTTGTAATGCAAGCCCTCCATTCCTGGCAACATACTGGCTGTGCTGATGTTGGTACAAACCTAAAAAAATTTATCCTCTCTGATCCCTCAACTTGATGGAGACACATTTCTTCCCTACCTCCTCCATTGTTAAAAATTCTGCGGCTTGCTGTGTGTCTTGTTTGCTTGTTGTGAATATTAAAACAATTGGGAATTAAAGAGTTTTACAAATTAAGGAGTTTTCAAACCAAAGCCATGATATTCCATTTCTGATTTTCTTAGCTTCCACTGCACTGCCACTAACCAACCCTCTCCTTACCTCTCCTATACAAACCCACTAGACTTCATCCAAATCACCTTTCTGAGGAGGTCAGCACTCTTAACCACAAGGGTTTGCCAATTTTTAACAGACTGAGAGCAGACATTCTTACTGTTTGCAAACAATCAATTTGTTCTAGTGGTGATGATTGCCTGAATCAAGACTATGAGTGAAATTTGACTAACTTTAGGAATTAAATATTGTTTCCTCCTTTGAATTGTAAACATTATGTTATTTAGAACTTTATTTTCTTCAAATGCATTGCTAAGCTGGTGTGTTCATTTGAAATTTGGTATTCTTGTATTCGTCCTGATGAGTGCAAGACAAAAAGCGGCAAAAACAAATCTTTTTTCAGTGACATTGGGTTTGTTAGTCTAGACCTAAACCCAATATATTCATACCTACAGTCAATGTGTTCGCCTATTTAGAACCCTATTTAAATGACTAACCATTATGTGTGCTCAATGTGGCTTTGGTTAGAGTAAGACTCTCAGCAATGACACTTGATTTGGACAATTTTCAAAATTGGCATTTCCATGTCCACCAAACCCTTGTACAAAACACCCAAGTTTGGATGTGGCCTTGGGGATCATTGCACCCTTATCACGAGTCAGTTTATTCTCCCATGAAGCCTTTGTGTCTAATGATCTGACCTGACCTGACCTGTAGTGTCTGTGTTAAATAAAGCCTTTAGCTCCCAGGTTCCTGCTACAGTTTAATCTTGGCATCTTTCTTTGCTTTACTGTTTTCAGTTCAAGATGGCTTACCAATGACCAGACGCTTTTTTAAAACCGAGTACCAACAATTCTTTCTAGGAATGCACAAAAAGTCCCTCGAGGCGTCTGAGGTGGTGAGGAAAGTGGAAGCCGAGCACAGCAGTCAAGCCAGCCAGGATGACCTGGAGCGTGAAGCCAAGGGCAAGGATTCCAACGTGGCCATTTCCAAAGAGGAACTGCGGGAGAGCAGCATAGCAGCCCTCAGGGCGAAAGCACAGGAGCACAGTGCTAAAGTGTTAGGAACGGTGTCCAGTGACGGGCAGAGCAAGATGGCGGAGGAGGAAAGACCCGACGAGATGAAGAGCGAGCAGTCTAAAGCAATGCCTGATGAGCTGTCGACAGAAAAGTTCTAAACTTTATACACAAACTTTTAGCTCTTTATATCTCTGCAGTCTTTTATGATGCAGTATCCTTCAAGACTGTTTTACAGCAACAAAAGCAACATGACGTTGGCTCTGGCTTAACTGTCAGGCCTCCCTCCCTGTTTTATTTTTACCGAGGTTACTCTTGATGGATGTATGTGTGTGTGTCTTTTTTTAATAATTTGTTGTTGGTATATTGACTTGTAATGTAACTATAATCTATAATTATTCATTCGGAGTTGCGCCAAAGTGAACACTGGTGGATTTTAGTAGTTTTATTTTTCTTTCTGTTCTTTATTTCTTTGATTGTATTCAAAAATGTACTTGGATGTTCCAGAGTTAGTCTTGGTTACAGCATCCTTGTTAAATCCTACATCCTCTAACCACCAATTCATTGCTTGTAAGGGGTACCTTATGATTAAAATAAAACACACACAAGGCCATTCAGCCCACTCAGCTCATCAGTGACCCATGTGTAGGCCCATTTCAGAATCTTGTCTTCTCTTCACATTCTCTGCAATTAGAAATGGCCATTTCTTTTCATAAAATGTCAGCTGAGTTCACATCACTGAGCAAAGCCACACGTAATTCCATAAATGACCAACTTTAGTGTGAAGCATTTGCTGTCGATTTGAGTTTCATTCAATTCAAATCCGTCCATTCATGTTTCCTGGTTCAGCAGACATTTGTGTTGTGGCAGCCATCTTAGCTGGCACTGTTACCATAGCAACAGTAATTAGTGTTCAGCCTGACATGAAATAATGGAAGGTTTGGGTTTGCAGACTCTGGTTCTGAGATGCATTTACAAGAGCTGAACTTTTTAATGTCACATTAAGCAATATTTTCACAATGCATTGGTGTTTCTCATTTGTTCCCAGTTTGCTCTCCTCACCTCTGTTCTCTAAAAGATAATTTTGCTCCCTAAGGGGAGTTCTATAGGTGCTGATAATCTTCCAGTTTCTCCAGTGATTGGCTAACCTTCCTGTCATGTTTCTTAGACATTGGTAAGGCCACGCTTGGAGTACAGTCTACTATTCTGGTCACCCTGCAATAGGAAGTATACTATTTAAACCAGGAAGGATACAGAAATGATTTACAGGGATGTGACCAAGACTGGAAGGTTTCAGTTAGATGAAAGACTGGATAGGCTAAGACCTTTTTCCCCTGGATCATAGGAGGCTGAGCGGTGATCTTTCCAGAGGTTTATAAAACCATGAGTGGCATGGATAGGGTGAATAGCCAAGATCTTTTCCCCAGGGTAGGGGAGTCCAAAATGAGAGGGCATAGGTTTAAGGTGAGAGGGGAAAGATTTAAAAGGGACCTGAGGAGCAATGCATTTTTATGCAGAGGGCGGTGTGTTTATGGAATGTGCTGCCAGAGGAAGTGATAGAAGCAAGTATAATTACAACATTTAAAAGATATTTGATCAAGTACATGGATAGGAAAGGTTTAGAGGGAGGCATGCGGCAGGCAAATGGGAATCATTCAGGAAACCTGGTCGGCATGGATGAGATGGGCTGAAGGGCCTGTTTCCATGCTGTATGACTCTTTGTACTATCAACCTAGCCCTATTTTAAAGAAATCAAGTGTTATGGGGGAGAAAGCAGGAAATGAGTTGTGGATTACCTGATCACAAATTGCAAAGCAGACTTAATGCGCTGAATGACCTATTTCTGTTCCTTTGTCTGATGGTCATATTGGTACAACTCATAATTCCCAGGTTGTCTATTATTCTATAATTAAATCACCTCCACCTCTCAATTAGAATCCAGCCTGTAACTTACTCCTAGTTATCCATTATTCAACACATAAACCACGCAAATTCAAGGAGATTTATTGTACCAGAGCAATCCTGATTTCCATGATTCACTACTTATTCTGCACACTGTCTTAATGAGTTGGATTAAAAGCAGGTGAATCGTGTTTAAAGTCCGTGGTGACAAAAACCTTCAGTAAGTTTGAATGGATTATTTTACAAAGTCTATCCCTCTGTTACCTTTTAGGTTTGAGAAATTCCTAAACTTAATGTGGAAGGAAACAGATGAATTAAGAGGAATTCATGGTGCCTCTAGTTTCTGGAGACAACCAGAATGCCCATCTGACAGAGGTCTACAAGACAGAGACAGCAACTCCCCAGCCTGAGATGCTTGGCATAGGGGGCATTGCCACTGCAAGGTTATCTGCAATAAGTCTGGTTCTGGAGTGGTTGCCTCTCATGCCAAGAGACCCAAATACTGCCAACATTGCAGAAGCTCACTGAAGATTTTCCCCAGTACAGACCTCCATTCTGTATCTGATGATGGCCATCACTGATTGGAAGTGTCTTTAAACCCTCAGAGGGACCCTGACCCACTCTGCACTGAGTGGGTGGCTCCATGGTGTAATATGTTCAGAATTTCCAAGGAGACTCACTGGGATATTCTCCCTTTGACATGGGGTGAACATGGCCTTTTAGGATTTGCCAATAGAGCTACACCAACCCCCAATCCCCACCCATTGCCTCACTGAAAATTATGTTTCCAATGTAAATGGGCTGGAATCACAGAATCCTAGCATTGTTATGGTGCAGTACGAGGTCATTCAGCCCACTGTGCCTGCACTAGACTCCCATCAGAGATGTCCCTCTGTTACCGTTTAGGTTTGAGAAATTCCTAAACTTAATGTGGAAGGAAACAGATGAATTAAAAGGAATTCATGGTGCCTCTAGTTTCTGGAGACAACCAGAATGCCCATCTGACAGAGGTCTACAAGACATAGATAGCAACTCCACAGCTTGAGATGATTGGCCCTTGTCCCAGGTGAAATGTTCCTTTTCGATCTCCCAGAATCTGGGTGATTTGTGGTCACTGGGGGTCAACCTGACCTCCAAATTGGGAAATTGTCTCAATTGGGCATGCTCTGTACCCCAACTGGGTGTAAAATGACTTATCTTTTGGCTATTGATGATCCTTTAATATGTTGCTAAAGTGTCATCGTATCATATCTAGCTTAACTTCCCTCCAAAAGGATGGTAATTCCCTGTGGAATACTATAACTGGGTGGAGATTAACATGGGCAGATGGGACCAGGGTGTATTTATATGAAGCATTTCTGTGCCATTAATGTTCAGTTTGAATCATTCTCACGCTCAGTGAATGTTCATGGTTTCTGAGAGAAAGGCCTTAAGGCATTTTCCTGCTGAGTTAGGCCCATTGCTAAGATAGAAGACATTCTACAAACCTCTTTCACTTTCAACTGCAAATATTGGCCAGATTTATATTCTCCACTGCTCACCCCCCATCCCTTCCAACTGCCCAGCTAAGGGTAGAGAAAGTAATGAACAGCTCATTAATCTAGGGACCTTGTATAACTTCCCTGTTCTGCCTCTGGGACGTTTCCCACATCAGGTAGGCTGACCTTCAGGTGAAACCTAGCTGCATCAGAAAAGGGAAGATACCTCCTACCCTGTTCCCATTGGAGATCCCCTTCCTCCACATGCCCTGTCGATCCTTGTTCCCCACCCTCCTTACTTGGCCTCCACAGACCCTTAGGTGTTGGGGATGAGCTGCATTCCCACCCTTGGCCACCCTTTCCAGTGAGTGCTGATGGAGGAAGGGAAATGCTAGTTGTTTGATTGGTTGATTCCAGAGACCAATTTTTCTCTTTGATTTGGGGGGGAGGTGGGTAGACGGGGGTGGGGGTGCATGGCAGACAAATTTTGTCAGCCAGTTTGCATCCTAATGGTCATTAAATGCCTGGGCAAAGGCAAGTGAGTTCTAGATCTGTTATCAACGCTAGGGCAGGGACACTGATTCTCATCTAAAATTCAACCCATCTTGAACTTCCATAAATGCCCCTGGATTGAAATGACCTCTAGTCCCGACCAGATACAATGCCGATATGGCCAACAGCTATAACATTAACCCATGCCATGATGTGTTGCAGGTAGCTGACCAGTCCCCTGGCCATTGAGATATTGCTGCTATGTGGAGTCTGAATCTTCCTCCTTGTCTGAGGGGCTATCACAGTGGCCAGAGGTCTGTGAAGTTAAGACTGTTGATATGTTTCCCAATAGGCCACACTCCCCCCCCATATCCAGCAATACCCCACCCCAACCCTATCTTGTAGTAGTTACATTTCATTCGATGGACCTGCTGTGCCTCTCTTGGCAGTTGGGTAGCCTGGCATTGGGGTGGCAGAAAGGGGCATAAGATCACATCCATCCTGAAAGTCCCATGTGTCCTTATTAGACTGGTATGACTGAACCCTGATTCTACCAGGTCACTGACGGTAACTGTGACAAAGGTAAAGCCAGCCCTGATACAGGCTTGTCCCTTTCCTCAGTGTGGGTCAGTGTAGCCCAGTTGGCTAGTTTGTGATGCAGCATTAATACTAACACTGTGGGTTCAATTCCTGCATAGGCTGAGGTTACCAAAAGACTCTCCTTCTCAACTTCTCTCCTTGCCTGAGGCCTGGTGACTCTCAGGTTAAACCACCACCTGCTGTTTGTCTCTAATGAGATGGCAGCCCTATGGTCCAGTAGGACTAAGTCAACTTTACTTTTGTCTATATCCCTTGCCCCAGTTTGTTAAAGCCCCATTCTAAGAGCAGCAACAAAAGACTTGCATCTATATTTATTGCTTTTCACAACCTCTGGAGGTCTCAAAGGACCAATGACATTCTGTTCTGTAACACAACAGTCAATTGTCCCTCAGACTTATAACAAGCAATGTGATAACGCCGAGATAAATTGTTACTTTGTTTGTGATGTTGAGAGATCGATGTTGACCAGGGCACCAGGGATAAATCCCTTGGTCTCTTTCAAAATGGTGACAGCTTTTATATCCATCCGAGCAAATGGACAGGGGTCTCTTTTGAAAGATGGTGTCACTGGCAGTGCTGTGCTCCCTCAGTGCTGCAGTGGAGCGTCAGCCTTTTCCCTTTGCTGTGGAGATGGACTTGAATCCCAAAGATAACAAGGTGTAGAGCTGGATGTACACAGCAGGCCAGGC